CATGGACTACGGTCCTGTCTTCAAGGCGCGGCTTCGTGCCGGTTGGCAGTCGACTTGGGGTGAGTAAAGTCATAACAAGCTTTTCTAGATCAAACCTTCTGTTTTGCTTCCGTAAGGATTGGAAGGAGGAAGTAGTCCTGGCAAGGTTACGCATTGGTCACAGTTTTTAACCCATCGTTTTCTTTTATCAGGTATTGACCCAACAATGTGTAGCCATTGTGACACTCAAGTCCCAATAGCCCACATTTTACTGTCGTACCGTCATCATGACTGTGAGCGACGGCACCAATTTAGACACATGTTTTCTAAGAGTTTACCCCTGACGTTGGACAGTGTCATTGGTAATGGTGACACTGTCCAAGTTGATTGTATTTTTAATTTTTTACACACTATAGGTCTTTTTAATTATATATAAATATTTTATTGACATATATTGGTTTTAACTCGCTGTGTTTTTACATTTTAATTTCATTTACTTTTACAATTGTTTGGTTCAGATAGCCTCGTTGCTTTGCGTCATAAAGCACCAACCATTTTTCCATTTATCTTCTGAAAATAAAGTTTATTTTTGTCTTGCTTTACACTGTATCTTGTCTTTAATTTCATTTATCTTCTGAAAATAAAGTTTCTTTTTGTCTTGCTTTACACTGTATCTTGTCTTTAATTTCACCTACAGCAAATCACTACACCTGTCCTTCCCCATATGAGGGTCCACAAACCTCCAGTTATTGCCTTGGATATAACAATTTTATGTAACTTTACTTTAGTGGTCGTATAACAGAATGAGAATTTGTCCTACAGAAGTTTCAGGTTTTTAATGTGTAAAATGAGAATTTGTCCTACAGAAGTTTCAGGTTTTTAACGTGTAAAATGAGAATTTGTCCTACAGAAGTTTCAGGTTTTTAACGTGTAAAATGAGAATTTGTCCTACAGAAGTTCCAGGTTTTTAATGTGTAAAATGATTAAAACATCCCATGGAGAGGGGGGGGGTAGATATGTATATGGATGTAGTTATCAATTTTTTTGGAAAGTTCCTAGTCATTATCAGTGGAAAAAAACAATCTCAAAATCTACCACACAAAGAAAAGAAAACCTGATTAAAACTACACACACAAAGATGATTGCTGAACCAACAGCTGAAATGTGATATTATTTTACTTTTTTGACGTACTCTTGATATACCAAGTTTACTTTTTTGGAGTATCAATATTTCCTTAGCTTTAGTTCATCTTACAAAGGATAATTGGATCAGACAAAAATGTCTGACATACCTAATCCTTACTGAGTGCTATAAATCCACAGCACTGATATAGATGGACTTGAAACTTTGTGATTTCTGATTATATGACTTCAAAATAAAAGTATTTGATTAGTTTGCTACTCATTTGCCTCATTTGAAAGATTTTTGAAACAGTATATCACATTTCAGTTCCATCGTAGCATTTTACAGGAGAGTACTACTTCTGCCTAGTTTGAACAAATTTAGGAGTTTTTCATCACCAGAAGTTTTGGACAATTAATGTCATTTTCCATGTTTTTTTTGTGTGTTTTTTTTTGGGGGGGGGTCTCAGAACTTAGTTCACCAGTTGCCACTGGTTTGGGGATTTCGGTCTGTAACAACAATATTTTCCTTAATTTTGATGCTTTTGGCTGTTAGCTGCTACATACCAGTTGCAGTTGGTTTGGGAATTTCGATCTGTAACCAACAATATATTCCTTAATTTTGATGCTTTTGGCTGTTACATGCTACATACCAGAGGCAGTTGGTTTGGAAATTTTGATCTGTAACCAACAATATTTTCCTTCATTTTGATGCTTTTTGCTGTTACATGCTACATACCACTAGCTTTCTTTTGTGACTCTAAATTTGTGTTGATTCTCTGGCAACATCAACATTGTTATTTGTACAAAAAACTTAGGAACACAAGGTTTTTACTTTCTCCTTACCTTAATTCTGTTTATATTACTGAACACAGACCCAGTAGTATGTTAAGAGCTTATCTTTTACTAGAGTACGTGTCTTTTTGACTTGTTCATTATCTTGGTATGAAAAGATTCATCATCATTATCATTGAAGGTATTTGGGTTTGGAAACCCAGGGTACTCTGAAATTCAAGAATTTATTTTTGTCCTCGGTGTGTGCATCAATGTCATCTTGTGAATAGTCTTCCTTTTAGCATTACACAAGAGCTTTGTAATATGTCTATCACTTTTTATTGACTCATCTCCATATCCTTGAAAGGAAAATTACATTGAAAGGTACAGACTCAAAGTCTACATGACTCAATGGCATATAAAACAGGGAATTATATCTCTAATGAGATATTCCATTTTGCTACTGAAAGACAAACACCCTATGTAGCAAGGATGCTTTCTAAACTGAATACATATGCAATTAGTCAAATGAAATGTAAAAGAGTTTAGTGCATGAAAACAAAAGTACTGTAAATGATGTTCATTTTGATCATTGTGTTGAAATTTGTTCAAAGTTGTTGTTTTTTGTTACTTATGCCGTTTTATTTTCCAGTTAGCAACAATGAAGGGAGATGAAACTACACTTCAAAATTACAAAGCTGTGCTTCAGAATGTAGAACATGAAAAGAAACAACTAGGGGTCAAAATCGTGGAACTTCAAGTGGCTTTAGCAAGGTCACAGGCTAATGCCAATGTTGAAGGTTAGAACTGTTATCTGTGTGCTTACTGTATTTGTGTTATAGATTAGAGCTGTGTACTTACATGTTAATATGTATTTATAGTTAGTAAATATAAAAGCTCATTTTCTTTTAAAGTACTTGAAGATTTAATTATTTATTTAGATTTTATCTTTTAACGCGTAGTAATTTTCTTTAATAAATTTGTAAAGATGAAGCTACTCCAAGGAAAAACTTGTTATTTTTAGATCCAGAATACAATAGAATTACAGAAGAAAAGGAGGCTCTTGAAGTACAGGTATAGTAATCAGTTTATGATATACTGAGATTTACATTTTAAACTCTATTACTTATTGCTAGACTACTTGCGAGTTTGTTCTGTATCTTTATAAGTTAAAAGTTACTCGCATCTTCACCAAACGTGCTAGTTTTGAACAATAAGATAAACAGAATTTCTAGATTAATCTTCTACTACAGTTATTTTTCATCTTTTCTGAATTGCTTAGTGGCCAAGGTGTGAAGCAGAATACACACCAGGGAATGGCCTGTTGGTCAGATTACTTGACTCATAATCTGCAACATTGCACATTTCTACCCTTTCAGCCATATGGTGTTACAGTGTGATGGTCAGTCCCACTATTTGTTTAAAGTAGCCCAAGAGTAATTTGTGGATGGTGTTGACTAGTTGAACACCAAGTTGCAATTCCTCTAGTCTATCATTATTTTTGTACTTTATCAGCTTGTACAGTAACTGTAACCATGATACAAAAGCCTATAATAAGTTTTTTTTTTAATGTAACATAACGTTTTGGAACAACATGGCACCTATTGGTACATCTTGACTGATCCATCCTCTAAACTGAACTAAAATAATTGAAAAAATAAATCTTAAAGTCAGCCCTTATCATTCATACACTTATCAAGCTTTCTCTTAAGCTCACTTAAATTTACTGCCTCTACAACATCCGAAAGCAACCCATTTCAAAAGCTAACCACCCTGTTAGAGAAATGAAACTGTCTTAGCTGAAGATGATTCCTACCTTGCCAAAATTTATATTTGTGTTCCCTAGACCTACTATTCTCATGGTTAAATATGAAAAAAGATCATGCGCCAACAATATCAATTCCCTTTACAATCTTAAATGCCTCAGTCAGATCCCCCCCCTAACTCTAATATTTTCACGAGAAAACAATTTGAG